TGTGTTCGAAATATAAATGAGACAAACACGATCAGTAATATTTTTTAACGGGCCGAACACGAGTTAAGTCTAGGCTCACCGTGTTCAACTTGTCTACACCCCCAACTCATAACATCTTACGGCTGGGTGATTAAAATTGTCAAAATGACTCTTTGCACACAAACAACTCGTATTTGGCTCACCAAGTAAACAATTTGAGTTTGAACACAATTTTTTGTGTTCAAAATATAAATGAGACAAACACGATCAGTAATATTTTTTAACGGACCGAACACGAGTTAAGTCTAGGCTCACCGTGTTCAACTTGTCTACACCCCCAACTCATAACATCTTACGGCTGGGTGATTAAAATTGTCAAAATGACTCTTTGCACACAAACAACTCGTATTTGGCTCACCAAGTAAACAATTTGAGTTTGAACACAATTTTTTGTGTTCAAAATATAAATGAGACAAACACGATCAGTAATATTTTTTAACGGACCGAACACGAGTTAAGTCTAGGCTCACCGTGTTCAACTTGTCTACACCCCCAACTCATAACATCTTACGGCTGGGTGATTAAAATTGTCAAAATGACTCTTTGCACACAAACAACTCGTATTTGGCTCACCAAGTAAACAATTTGAGTTTGAACACAATTTTCTGTGTTCGAAATATAAATGAGACAAACACGATCAGTAATATTTTTTAACGGGACGAACACGAGTTAAGTCTAGGCTCACCATGTTCAACTTGTCTACACCCCCAACTCATAACATCTTACGGCTGGGTGATTAAAATTGTCAAAATGAATCTTTGCTCACAAATAACTCGTATTTGGCTCACCAAGTAAACAATTTGAGTTTGAACACAATTTTTTGTGTTCAAAATATAAATGAGACAAACACGATCAGTAAAATTTTTTAACGGACCGAACACGACAAGTCTAGGCTCACTGTGTTCAACTTGTCTACACCCCCAACTCATAATATCTTACGGCTGGGTGATTAAAATTGTCAAAATGACTCTTTGCTCATAAACGGCTTGTATTCGGCTCACCAAGTAAACAATTTGAGTTTGAACACAATTTTTTGTGTTCGGAATATAAATGAGACAAACACGATCAGTAATATTTTTTAACGGGCCGAACACGAGTTAAGTCTAGGCTCGCCGTGTTCAACTTGTCTACACCCCCTAAAAGCGAAGTTCGTTATAATAAAAATACAATCAAACAAATTTAATCATAGTCAGAAAATAAAAACAAAATTATAGACTTTAATTTCCATATTAAAAAAATTCTAAGTGGAATGAGAT